AAATTACTCAGTTGTCCTAACAATCTGTGGTAAAGCATTGAAGGATTTCATGATCAAGCATTAGTGAACTGATATGTCCACGTCGCCTGAAATCGACGAACCACAACAATCCCCACGATTCGAACTAAGAACATCAGTTCATATCAATTTTATACAACATCATCGTTCCTCGAATAAAAATCACACTCAAATCAAGTAATGTTTCACCAAATAAAATATCACACAGCAAAAGATGAACAAATACTACACTGAATAATCATCATATTGAATTAACAAAACGGCCATAATATCGAACAACAATCACAATGAGTCAGTTAAACAAAATTCCATTTTGTCATTTTATCCCGATCTATCAGAAACAACACACACGTTCATTCACCAGAGGTCGATCCAACAAACCGGATAACGTGTCTGCGAGATAATCACACTTTCAAACAATCACATTCACTACACAATTCTTAGTCATACTAATTTTCGAGTAACATCATGCATTATGCATGAGAAGAACACATCGTTACACAAAAGCAACTCCACATTCTGTATTTTGTCAACGTCTTACTCACTCAAAATGCATCGATTGAGTACATTGGCTCGATGAGTAATCTGTACTTAGGAGATCATTCTCAATCGAGTTAGATGCAAACGAGTGATATTTCTAGGTTGATATACATGAGAAAATGAAATATGAATAGATGAAATGGAGAATCTTATCAGATTTGGTTTGACATTCCCATCTCTGATGACATCTTAACATGAGCTTAATTCGATGTGTAGCGAAAAGCACTTACGAAGATTGTTCACTAGTTCAATATGAATTGTTAGAACATACGTCATCTCAGGAACGTAATATCGACGGAAGTCTCTCACCGATTGATACTAACTGAATTCCAGTTCTAGATTTTATCATTTCACGTTTCACAAATAAATGTGTTGGTCGAACACATGTAGGTGAATAACACATGAGGATATTGCTCTTCATACAAACACATTGATATGTCAATAATTCCGATGAATGAGTGTTGTTAGATGTCACACTCAGTGGTATTTGTGCTCATAGTGAAGGAACAGTAAGAGAGATGTGACGAAATCTCGATTCATGCACAACTCAGTTCTAGATGTATCTCATCTATATTGAAACCAGTTGAAAGATCTGACATATTATGACAAACATATTGTGAGATGTCAACTGGACAAGTGAGAAGTGTGACCAAATACCTACTTACTATCAATGGATATTCAACGACAGTTGTGAACAACGACACAAAACCAGTAGAGGAGAAATCGGAAATTACAACACTCTCGAAAATACGTTATTACTGAAGTTACAGGATGGGAGTGAAATAATGACACGATGAAACGTCTTGAAACATTTACTACAAACTGAACATTGATCAACAGATTGGAATAATTACGCACCGTGTTTTTAATATATTGGATGATGAATACTGTTGTGAGTCGATTAATTCACAATAATAGCCAGTAATTATTGCTGTGTACATATTAGTAGAACGATTGATTTAGTGATCGATAGCCCTGTTCATACTGTCACACTTTCCCAAACTATAAATCATGATATCAAGTACACCAACTCTGTTATCTATTGTTAGCATAGAGTCTTCTACAAATATGAGTTTTTCCAGGTTGCTCTATCTCATTACCATGTCAATATGAAATTAGAAATGTGATTAATATACAAATCGAAATAACGCAGTAATAATAATAAGGAAAATATAGCATTGAAGATTTGGTAGTGAAAGACAGGTATCTGTGAAGGAACAGGGGAACCAAAGATTTGGAGGAAGATGAAGGGCGAATGAACCTGTTCCTTTGGAATCGATCAGAAGTTTTTCGCCCAATGTTTTTGACTGCTATGAGAAGGTCACGTACTTATATCTAACTTCATATACTCTTCAACTAAATTATCGTTAATGAGTTAGTACACTAATGGTTCATGATGATCAAATGTTGAGACAAAATGTTTGTAGGGACAGTTTATTTATAGTGTTCAGTTCAAATCATACGAGCAGTATGCAGAACAGTAGATGAATCCGCTTTTAGTATTTCGCAAGCGAATATGCTTTTAGAAGAAAATGAGTCATCAAACGTTTCAATCAACTTATATTTAAACAGATCAGAGAATGAGATAGCAAGCTGATACCCAAGCACCGGAATACGAACTTACTTTTATAAACAAGAATATTTGTATGAAAGTATAAGCGAATTAATATGGGCTAATATAACAGTCTGTTAGCCTTGTAAGTTAAACTAAAGGCTTAATTAATTTAAGCATTTACAAACTTGTTTGTGTATCAGGGTAGTATATAACCACAGACCAACGTTAACGCACTGACCCCAAACAGGCCCTCCGTACCTATAAACGTGTCGCAAACCATCAGTCAATGACTGGTTTCGTGTTTTAGTTTTGCTGAGTCCAACGTTCTTTCAACTAACTCCTACACCAGTAAACATCATCCTTTGAGATAAGTGATGATTAGCGCTACTTAGTTGATGTCATAACCACTTGATTTGAAGATTTTCAACCCCTTTCAACAACCTTGTCTCCTCTGCCTAGTACCGTATACATAAACATAAAATCACTCACTCGGTTGTTCAACGAACCGTTAGCAACGTTTACAAGTCACCTATGATCGTAAATGTGCAACATACTCTTGTCTTCTATTGTAATATGGAGTTTTTTTAATGAACATAGAGTATTACAGAACGGACTACTGTTCAGTACGCTCACCCTTTAACTGTCAGACGGACATCTAACCTATATCAAAACCGGTGCGAGTTGGAATTAGCCAAATGACCTATTGGGACCAGTGCCAAAATTTTGTTAGATGTCGACCCTATAGAGTCGATGAGACCATCTAGACAACAAAGTAGTCAATAGATTCAACCACTTAACTCATTACCGTTAATTTAGGCACTGACGCTAAACAGTTCTGAGGCGTGACTATCAAAGAACTCTGGGGTCAGCCTTTCATATTCAGCTGCTCTACATCGTCTTCTAAACTTGTGTCAACCCCCTATTCATCCGGTCTGGCAATAAAATATAACTAGAGGTTAGCTTAAGGTCGGTTTAACTATTTCACAATGTTCTGCTTCATCTGTTTAATCTCATGGACCAAGCGTGAATAAAAGCTTCGTCTCTTTTTAAAACAGCCTTATTACCAACTGGCTTGTGGATAACTGTTAACCTGATTGATAGGTCTTTAATTCATTCACGCTAATTGGTTGGGCAAAACAAAGTATAGATGACCTGTGAAATGGGACGTTACAAATCAGTATCATGTCAAACATACAATAAACCAATAGCTTGATAATACACACAGTGAAACTATTTGATACACGTTCACCGTAAATTAGCTTCATAACAATTTACTTTTCAGTTTATTCTCCCAATTGTTTGACACTCAACAAGTACCATCAAACAAAATATGCAGGACCCTCATTCAAAACTGGTCACATTTATGACCGAATATATGGTGGTAGTTGATTCGATTCAATTTTATCAAAAAGGTGTCACAAATAACACACACACACAGATATATGTAGATGATGTATTGGTAACTATCAAACTTGTCAGGTGTATTGTACTTGAAATTTCAGTCATTTCTACTAGTTTGTTTACAACATTGTGATACGGAGTAATGACTAAATGACAATTAGTTGTTGTTAAGACAACGGGTGAGACGAATATAAATATGCGATAATATTTGAAACGTTTGAATAGATTTGTTACCAAAGGAACAGGTGAGTATAACGTTGTTCTTGTTCCTCCTTATTACTATTGACTTACCCAATTGTGGTACTCGCTAAGCTTCTTCATTCAAGACATCATCTGTTGATGAAAATCATTAGTTACCCACAAGCAAATGTCTGTTGTAACGTCACTGTGCAACAAGCGCAACTTCCGATACACTCCTGAGTTTTGGCACACTGAATTCACAAAGTACTCAATTGTCATCTGCAGTGTATGATTTTCTATTCCAACATGACAAACTGTCCATTCCATGGATTTACACCAACGATGGAATGTGCTATACAGTAGAGTCGAGCATACATTTCTTGATATTTTCCGAAGTTTGAGTAAGGCTGATTTTCTCAAAACTTCTATTCGTGTTACACAAATCGATCTAATTTGTAAACAATCTATAACTCGAAAACCGTGTATCACATTGTCAGTAATCAGTGACATTTATACGTGACACAAGAGTACAAGAGTACACTTAAGCCACAATTAATAATTTAGTTGGTGTTATACACAATGTGAAATAGTAAAATTTATTCTGCATCATCACATAAACACAAAACTGATTACTTCCTACTCATATGCAATGTGAAGAAATCAAGGACATTTAGAATATTTGAAGAGGCAATCATTGTGAAGACACTGTCACTATTTCCACAATGCAATTATTCCCAATACCAGTGATTCATCAAAATATTTTGTTTGACATTCGTATGATTGTTTTGTGACTAGAGCCATATTCAGACTGAACAAATCTTTGCACAAAACAACTTGGTGAATTATAGTTGTCAGTACGTTAGAATTTGACTTCATGATGGATTCTGGAGTGTAGTGTTAGGAACCTGTGACTTGTTGAATCGGGACACTGATTAAATGCCGTGATGTATTACAGACTAATTATATTGGAAATGAGAACTTGTGTATAGACTGATTGATGCAAAACATGTCGTGGTCTGTGTTAGGTCCTATGATACAGGATGGTTTCGTGAGAGTTGACTGCCACGAATGTGATGTTTTGAATTTAGATGTGTAAGAGTCCCCACTACTTTTCAATTGTGTATACGTCTACAGTCAATGTTTATTCAATATTCATTGCTTTGTGCTCCAAATGCGCGTTTTGTATGAAACTAGTTAGTTACATAGTGTTAAATAGAGACTTCATGCTAAGTGTTTCATATGTTGTGTTCTGTTTGACAGGTGTTCAGACTGAACGATGAGGGCAATCAACTGTTTCATATTACACATGCTGATATTCTCAGTCCTGTGCGTTCTGGTGAGCAGTTATATAAGTCCACCACGTTCGCGATCAGGTGCTAATCACTTGGAACAAGAGTTAAAGAGAATTGAACAATTGGGAGCTAAGCTTGAAGAAGACATGGTGATATTGAGTGAACAGATTAATAATCTGCAATGCAAGAACGAAAGTGGTAACGTATCGACGGTAAAGCGAAGCCTACAATCAAAAGCAGCATCGATGCAAGATCAGTACTCATATGGCCAACAGCAACCGATGCAACAACAATCGCGACAACAGCAACAACAACAACAACCGCAACAACAACAACAATCACAACAACAGCAACCACAACAACAACAACAACAGCAACCACAACAACAACAATACTACTCATCCAATATGATGATGAAGAGACAAATGGGAGGGAAAATTAACCACAATTCACAACAACCAATGAGCGCATACTCCCAATATTCCAATTCATACGGAGCACAGAGTGGATATGGACAACCCATTGGTCAATCACAAATGATGAAACGTCAACAACAGTCAAAACTAGCACAAGCTTACTATCCTTCACAACAAGGTCAACAACAACAACAACAACAATTACAACAATATGGATATCCACCCATTAAGCCTCACATGCAAATGGGAGGGATAAATATGCAACCTCAACAACTCCCATATTTCCAACAACCTCAATATTACGATAACATAGGATTTGATGAAAATCAACAAGACAGTTATGAGACTGTTGATGGGCCATATGTTTATGATGACGACGTCGAAGAACCGGTTATGGGTGATGTTGTGAAACGTGAATTGATGTAAACTGAAATTAGGTTGAGAATGGAAGTGTTATTAAAGATTTGAATGGAGATGAGCTAGAATGCTGTGATTACTTAGATAAATATTCACTGTTCATCTTCGTGTGTTTAAATATAATTGAATAGTTGCATTTCTGTTCAGTTTTGATTTTGGTACTGTGATCAGGTTTGGGTTTACTAATCGAGCATACACTGAAACATGATTCCATATAGAACAGTGTTCCAATTTTGATGAGGAAGATAACTGGTGTTTTAGTGTTGGTATGCGAGATCTGTGCCGTTTCGTTTTCTCGTTTGTTTTAGACAAATCTCATCTTATCACTCAGAAGATGTTGATTAGTCAGTTTGACTCACTGGCTGAATAACACGATTAATCGATTTTACATCATACGATAGTTGAACTGTTTGAACTCTCTCTGTTCGACATGGATGTAAGCCATCGATTGTGTTGTTAAAACTTTGATTAATCGACTCATCTCACCAGATTGATGGAAATTAAATTCTCCCTTCGTGAGGAGTATCATGTTGACAAGTCACGGAGCCAATCGCGAAATCAATCAATGTCAGACGAAAGTGACACTTGTAGGAACAATTATGTTGAACATGTTTTCATGAACATGACCAGTGTGAGATATGTAAAGCATGTCTACTAAACACATATCCACTAAAACAATCAAGATAATTCTTTTATTAATAATACACTGAAGATTAATACAATTTAGCCTGTTGCATGACTGATTGATGATAGTGTCACTATTCCCTACAGTTTGTAAGATAGTAAAATAGGATATGTCTAATTATTTCTTGTTCACTCCTATACAATGTTTCAGTGAACTGTGTGCAAGTGTTAATTGTTTTGAGTAATTTGTAATTGGAAGAATGATAGTCGTGAATTATGAATTGTGAAGTGACACGCAATGAAAATCTGATGTCAATACTAATAATCACACGAAAAATAATCTATCCACATAGGCATCATTAACAGTTTTGTGGTAGGCCAAGCTAAATTGGATTAACTAGATACTTTGTAAATACTGCATATCTAATAGTCTGTTTAGGAGGTAGATGATGTCACTAAGTGATCATGTAAACATAGTGTGTGTTGAAGTATCACCGACGAACTATTAAAATCACATAGGTCAATCTCCGTACAAATTCGGATAACCTGTATCACAATGAACAGCGTCAATAGAATCCACGTTACTTCATCTACAGTGGTACTAGTTGTGGAATGCATTCGGCATACAATTTGTCATATCATGTAAACTTGTTGAACAGATACAACTCACAACTATCTGCTTGATTGTCTGCTACATTGACACCCAGAGACACAATCAGCTTGCTATTCAACCATCTGCAACAAAGAATGTTGTCAGTGATGACAGATTGTGATTAGTATCCACTGAATGATGGAATGGAATGGAACGGAGTTGAAGGTTGGATTGTGATGTAAATAATTTGAGATAACACAGTTTGAATTTGTTGAGAAACATTTCCTCTGTATAACAATGTGTTACTATTGAGAAGAAACATTTGATTAAGCAATCTTCATATTTAGACGTGAATATCATGAAGTTATCGCACAAGATCTCCTCGTTTATAAGAATACAGACCTTCATATACATCTCTACTTATTGTTTGTCGAGTTCGTTACGTCTGATTTCCAGTTTGTGAAATCGATAGTTTAGCTTCAATAAAACATTCTTCTAATACATCCGTTATTATGCTAAGTTGGCTGTTGGAAGATGAAAATAATACCTTTTTATTACTAAAGAAAGAATCACTCATTAAGTTAAAATGATATAAAACATTGATTACACTCTTCTAATAATTAAGTGTCATTACATAATAACTTTATTATATTTTCAAACAACTCTATTAATAAATTAATTATTGGTGAGCTATACTACTGTTCATCACAAACAATAAAGTAATAGTATTTAGGCGCTCATTATCTGACTTCGATATGGATGACTCGTTAATGATATAAAATGAAATATGGAACATACTAACTTTGTATATGTTATGTTGACTTAACGAGTTTAGTACAATGATAGATCATAAGTTAAAATACTAGTGTTTCGTTTGTTTATAGTTTAGACATTCATTTCATCAGTCTAGCAAGAATAGATGCAGAGGTTCTATAAAGAACTGAAGTCCGGTAATAGACCCATTCAAAGAACAATCAAGTGACTGGCAAGACTCTAATTTATGGACGAGCCAATCAGAAGCGTTTTAGAGATTTCAAGGTTACGGCGCCAACTTCAGTGCTTAATGCTAACGTACGATCGGTTCACAGGGAATTTTGTACAAAACGTAATAATTGAGAGGCTATAACAAATAAAACGTCGGGACTATAATTTGTGGACCAATCAATCAGGTATAAGATAATAGATTTCGGATTTTAACGAGAAAGCCTTTCATACATTTGGTTAAATAAATTTCTGGCATTATAGCTGATGTCAGTTGGTGATGAAAACCCCATATATAATTCCTAACTAGGGTAAATTACGACAACTATTGAGAACTGGATAATAAAAGTACCAGTAACACTGGCTGCAGCCAGGCACTACAATATATACGGATGTTTGGAGAAAGTGCAGACTCCTACATAGGCTTGGTTGTGTGCATCGTGTCATTATCCACAAGTAGCATTTTGTGCACTCAACAACCGGAGTGCACATAAATAATGTTGAAGTTATGTGGTCGAGGCTGAAAGAGTTTTTGAGACTCCAGAGGCCTACTATTCTGTAACCGTATGGATGATTGCCTCTACTGCATACTTTACAATTTTAGAACCTCTGAACCTCTTTCTAACCTTGACAAGTTTTTGAACCACATACAAGAAGTGTATCCACTTTATTTCCTTGGTTTTGTATAACATCTTTTTACTCTATACTGGATGTTTGCTGATTGGCTAATATTTCTCTAAGTCACTTGAGATTCGTTTAAAGGTCGTCCATAAATTTGAGTCTTGCCAAGTGACTTAGTTTTTATAAATCATGTAAGAGATACAAGAATGTTGACAAAAAAATACCATTATATTATACATGAATAAAATATATTTAAGGTTACGTTGTGATAACTAATTTTAACTGCAGTTTATTATTGAATAGTACAGATCCCTGAATCATTAGCACATCAAGAGAATTCGAACAAAAAAGCTAATGTTCTCATGTGAGTGTATGAATACAGAGATGAATTGAGAGTCGAATCAGTTAATAAGATTCAAGCATCTATATATAGAATATCAATAAACGTACGGCGGTTTTTGTATCTTTTTTTTCTTTCATTTTCCAAATTTTTCATTCTGTCTCGTCCAATTAAATGGCTAGTTCTTGAATTCGTTATAATTGGTTATATATTTTCTTAAAATGGATATAAAATGTAAGTACTTGTCGGCAGTGAACTTTTTCGTCAAATTATGGACGATAGTAACATACGAAGTACAAGAGTCTGTCGTTTCTCACGTTATCACAGAAACAGATAATGCATTTTTGAATACATTATATCTCATAGCATTTGAATCACTTGAAGCGTTAAAAATCGCCATCAGAACTTATGAAAGAGTGACGTACTGCCGTTATATGGTGAGAGTTTCTCATTTCCATAGAGATCAGAAGCCGTATATTAAATTTGTATGTTGGAGAAACGGTAGTAGAACATATAGCGATTCCTCATAGCCGATTAGACGAAAGAGACAATTTGATTAGTGTTATTATATTGTTCATGAAGGACTTCAATGAACACTCAATGTCCGGCCTTCATCTTTTGTAAGTTTATTGAAGGTTACTGGACTGTTGTATATGGGAATGTTCATCACAATTATGAATGCAATTCCCTGAGGTACGACAATAATTCTTGGATGCTCAGCTTAACAGAGGCTGAAACAGTACGACCACTTCCGATTTTCGAGACAACAGCATTCAATATTGTTCGCTTCACTTACTAACAGACTCTAAGACATTTACAATCTTGCTGAGCCTTCAAGTGTTCGTCTATTATGTTTAATAAGGAAAATTAATGATTTGAAAAATGATTTCAGACTTTCTAAATAAATAACGTATGCGATCTCATTTACAAATGACATGATTTAGTCAGAGGGTATACTTACAAAACATTTGCTGTTGACATTACATGAAAAAGAATGCAATGCCCACTTTACAAGTACAATAACCGATTTACATGACTATATACACAATCAAGTACTTTTTTTCTGGGCATAATTATAAACCTCCCAGCTACATAAAATGTACAATATACAGTTCAAAACAATTTATACTGTTAATGGATCAACAAAATAACACAATTACAATCTTAAGTTTATTTACGATACCTTTTTTTTAAAGCTAAACTAAACAGTATTGCAACTTGATTGATAGAATTCGATTTGCACTAAGAGAGATTGGATATATGTGACATTGTTTATCACCAAGTGATCAATTAATTGTTTGCATTCATATAACGTTTATGAAAAGAGTATACCATGTGTTAAAAACAAAACAATTAATAGAAATATTTAGATGAAAATTTGTTTACTAATTTTGTATTAAACATTTTATGATGTGGGTTACTTATATTCAGATAAGTAGTATATAACAGTGATCAAGCATAGAATGTATATCAGTAAAAGATCGATAAGAAAAGAATGGGAACGGAACTTTCAACTTCCGTAGTCACTATTATTAACTATTAAAAAACAATTATCAGTTTTTTTCCTAAATTTTCTCTTAATGATCTACATATTATTACTCTTGTTATGGTAACTAGCGACTTCAGTTCCATATATACTTTATCGAAAAATATTTATCCCGATATACATTCACAAATAGGGCCCCCAAATGCCCTGCTACGGCCGAGAGTGGGGAAAGTCTGCTCTCCCTCTCGAAATGCTCACATGGTCACGCGTATATAGCTTCTGTCAGGGAAGTCCTTCTCACTGCCTTCTCGTGGTGAGGGTGTTGTTTACGAAATTGAGAGGACGACAAGCGAATGTCCGGCGCTTCAACCGGGTTGGTGGACGTGGAGGGTCAACCTAGGGGAGTTAAAAAACTCAGATTCCAAACCGATGGTGGAGTATAGCAGGGTAGTGAAATAGAGTTGATATATGTTTTTTATATTTTTTTCAGAAGTTAAAATCTTGCTTTTCCCTTTTTGTATGCTGAGACCTACTGCTGCTGGGGCTGCTGCTATACTGAATTAAAAAATTAATACAGATGACAAAATGTTTGTTCATTATCACTTGAGTATACACTTTCAAAAACAGGTTCACCAATCACTAATTTCTAATTTCTTTTAATCACACCCTAAAATTTCTCATCAGCGAGTGGTGAGGAAAGACAACCGCCGTGCAATTAATGTCGCGGTTGTTAACCGTAAATACATTTGCTGTTGATATTACTTGAAAAAAATGTAATGTCCACTTCACAAGCACAATAACCGATTTACATGACTGATATTTTAATCCAGTAAAGCCATTAATTATTTCATCATTAAATATACATGGCATTTACGATTGCATGATCACTGGGTGGTAATCATTGTCATATATGTCAGGTCTCTCTTAGTGTAAATCGAATCTTATCGATGAAGTTGCAAGGTGGCCACTAGTCTAGGTGACTCGACATTGTGTTCACTATATTAAGATGAGATGGTGATTGGAGATAGTCAACAGGAAACCGTAAAATTTAAACAGCAAACCGTGGACCTAGATTACGTGATACTTGGTACTCGTCGGCAAGGTGTTGAATACCTTTAACCACTATCTTATCTAATTATATATGGTGTATATTTGTTATTCCTGATTTATATAGTTAAAACAATTCAATTTCAATGCCACAACTGACACTGAAAATCTATTATAATGTATACTTGTTGGGGATGTTATATCCCCAGAACTCACTTGGGAAAGGACCTAATTTTGTAATTTCATTTGGAAAATTTGAATTTCTTTGTCTCTGCGCCAAAGGTGCTCTTGTCACCTTCATGTCGTATTTCCCACTGGGAAATATCTTAAATGCTATTGGTCCGTTGTGTCTTTTAGTATGCTATTCGGTAACTCTCCCCAAGGACGATTTTGTAGTGTATATATGCGTTTTGAACTGTTTGTTGTTATCGCTCGTTTCTGGCTGTTTGCAGAATATACTTCCCCATTCCAAGCTTGGACTTCTCCCTCTAGTTAGTGGGGCTGGGACGCATCAATAGCTAGCTTACTGGTCTTTGGTCACCTAGTCTTGTTTTTCGTTCTTAGATTAAGTGAACTCGTGATAGCTTCAACCCTAGCAATACTTTAACAAATCTCATTTTTTCTAGATGAGTTTTACTTTGCATATGAGAAATCAACTGTTAAACTCAAGAATATTATACCATTTTTATGAAATATAAAAATATCTTCCTTCAATTATTTCAATATAATTCACTTACACTGAGTTACATAATCATTATTATATCATAAAAATAAAGTGAGAAGAGAGTAAAAACAAATGTAAGATTGGTTGGAGTTAGACATTAACACCATTCGATGCTAGCCGACTCAGTGGTCTGGAGGTTAAGCGATTGAGCTCAAGATCAATAGGTCCTGGGTTCGAATCTGGCGAGATGGGGTCGTGAATGCGCGTTTTTGAGGAGTCCGGCACTAGGATAAAACGGCCATCTGGTGCCTCTAGGTTTCCTATGGTGACCTAGCTTCAATTGACTGATGAATTCAATTAATAAATATAAGGAAGTTTATATTGTTTAAATAAAATTATATTTAAATGTGTACAAACATAAATATCAATCATTGATTTAAAGAATCACCAGTATACATGTAATTTAATTCGTTCATAGGGAAACTGAAAACTAATCAATAAAACATTGAAGTTACTATGCATCATTATTTAATTTCCAAGTTGTAATATATATCCAGCTTGTTCATCATTGGGTACCTCTTCATTTAAGTAATTATTATATTGTTGATAATTATCTAATCTTTCATAGGGTTTATGAAAACTAGGCTGTGCATTAAATGATTGCGATTCATCTCTGATCATATTTGCTCTTAATTGCCTTTTAATAGTTTTTAATGGTTGTATATTTTGTAGAAGTTGATATGTGTAATTATATTGTTTAGGTTGTGGTTGTCTTTGATTCTGTTGAGGAATTTTTGTAGGTTGCTTATTAGAGTTTTTGTGTATAGTTTTATGAATAGTATTATGTTTAACTATTGTTTTCTTTGATGATTTTGATTTTCGCGCTTGTGTCAATTCCCAGTAACTGATTATCAAAAGAAATATGATTAAAAATGTCAGTAAGTTGATTGTTCGCGATTTATTTGTCTTCATGATTTAATGTATTCACCTGTGATTTAAGAAAATTAGATGTGTTTAAATAAATTAACGGGCCAGATGGTTCAATTGATTGATCATTAGGTAGTGATCGATGTCATATATATCAGGTCCTTCTTAGTGAAGATCGGATCCTATCGAACAAGTAGCAATATATTCACTAGTCTAGGTGACTTGATCTGCACTAAGGACCTGACACACATGACATTGATCATCATACAATGATTAATCAATTTTAAATAAATCTCAGTCTTACAAGAGGTCAGTCGTGGACCGGTGGACAGTGTTAATGTCTCTGACTGTAAAGCTGAGTGACACGGAATCAGATCTGTCAGGGAGCATTAGTTACCTCAAGATTACAGGTACACCTTGCTGATGAATGCTAAGTACCGCGAAATCTGGGTCCAGGGTTTCCAGTTGACTACTTCCAACCACTATCTTAAAAAGGAACACTTACATGTCAGGGAATATGTTGAGCCTCAACTATAAGTATGTACGACTGTTGATGTTGTGAAAATGTCACTTCGACTGATAACTTACACATGATGATATTACTTATGAAATTAATGATCAATTCAATGAATATCATTGAGAGGAATGCAAATGAAGACAAGAGAAACGATAGCCAAAATAACTTCAGAATCTAAACATCTAAAACACTATTGACGATGAAAAATTAAAACTCGATACAATCAAGACATCTGATAATGAGTGAAATTCCTTCAAGAATGGAAAACTAAAGTTTTGTCCGTTATCTGAGTGGAAGTCTTTTTAAAACTGAAAGTGAATTACATTGAATGATTAGATAGTAAGCCTGAAGCCAACATAGGCAACAAATTGCCTCACGATCAATTCACCGCAGGATTCGGTGTTGGGCTAGTCACTTTTCACTCGCAGTTACTAAGGAAATCCTTGTTAGTTTCTTTTCCTCCCCTTAGTGATATGCTTAAGTTCAGAAGCTAATCACGTCTGATTCGAAGTCAGGGACAACTGTATAATTCGTGTGTGATACACATACTATCAGTATAAACCATAGACCACACGTACAGACAAGATCAATTAGTTAACGTAACGTACGATAAGACAGATTTTCCCCGGTCGTGTATAATGTCATTAAGCCACGACTCAAGCACAACCTACCACAGCATCACAATCAAGCCATCTAGACCGGGCTAAGCTGTGGCCGAATTCTTAGAACGGAGCCTTTGACTAGTAACCCACATTGATATAGGGGTACACATACTCGCAGGTACTCGTCGAATCATCGATTAATTGTGCGTTGTAATAGACGAAAAGCCAAACTTTGATCAGGCGTGATCACAGTATATCCCGTAACTGCAATACGCGTTCAAGATGTTGATGTTCAAGGCAGTATGCAGTTCACATTGATTCACATAGTTGGCGGCATTCTCCATCGACACACGAGCTGAGTGACTCATCGCTCAAAGTTGTACGTCAATAATCCCACACATTGGTTTTCCAAATGCATAGAATTAATGACTAACACTATAGAGTTCGATGAGGAATGCAGATAAATGACCTATGTTCCTCCACGAGGGATAACAGGCATAAGTCAGTTGAATAGTGACAATTTATTAATACAGTATGAGTATATATATAATATGATACTTACTTATTATTTCAGTAAATAGAGCCTTTACAAGTAATATGAATAGGATAATGTATTTATATTTTATAGATCTGTTTCCAATAACAACCAATTGTCATCTGATGGTTACCAGTAATTACAGTATAATATACAAATTAGGTGAATTAATTAAAGAACTTGTAAAAATTGACCTTTATTTACCAGTAACTAAGGTATAATTTGTAATGCATTTGTTTATGCCATTTCTGACAATGATGGTTTGACATATGTAAGCATTAAGACTCGTGTACACAATAGATATTTCTATTCAATGAAATTATAGTAATGAGTAGTATATAAGAAACTTTGCTGAAAATTGAAAAGTTGTTTTACATAAATGTCTAGATAGAATACATTAGTAATAAAGAAAACAGTAATAATACCAACAAAATCAATTAAGAAACACATTTGAACTGATAGTAACCGAACATTATAAATATGAATCTTATTTCATGAGTCTTCGTAAAGCTTTATACCTGATATAATTCAAAAAAGGCTATTAGTTTGAATGGTATAGACACTGATATGATTGTGTCACCAATTTTTGTTATATCTGGTTGTCGCTAATTACTATATCAGAATTACTTATCCTGCTCGCGGGATCGTGAATGCACACTGCTGAGGAGGAGTCCCACAATGGGTCGAAATGGCAGCCCAGTGTTTAAATATTAGTTGATTGAAACGTTTGATGACTCGTTTTCTTCTAAAAGCGTATTCGCTTGCGAAATACTAAAAGCGGATTCATCTACTGTTCTGCATACTGCTCGTATGATTTGAACTGAACACTATAAATAAACTGTCCCTACAAACATTTTGTCTCAACATTTGATCATCATGAACCATTAGTGTACTAACTCATTAACGATAATTTAGTTGAAGAGTATATGAAGTTAGATATAAGTACGTGACCTTCTCATAGCAGTCAAAAACATTGGGCGAAAAACTTCTGATCGATTCCAAAGGCACAGGTTCATTCGCCCTTCATCTTCCTCCAAATCTTTGGTTCCCCTGTTCCTTCACAGATACCTGTCTTTCACTACCAAATCTTCAATGATATATTTTCCCTATTATCATTAATGCATCATTTCGATTTGTATATTAATCACATTTCTAATTTCATATTGACATGGTAATGAGATAGAGCAACCTGGAAAAACTCATATTTGTAGAAGACTCTATGCTAACAATAGATAACAGAGTTGGTGTACTTGATATCATGATTTATAGTTTGGGAAAGTGTGACAGTATGAACAGGGCTATCGATCACTAAATCAATCGTTCTACTAATATGTACACAGCAATAATTACTGGCTATTATTGTGAATTAATCGACTCACAACAGTATTCATCATCCAATATATTAAAAACACGGTGCGTAATTATTCCAATCTGTTGACCAATGTTCAGTTTGTAGTAAATGTTTCAAGACGTTTCATCGTGTCATTATTTCACTCCCATCCTGTAACTTCAGTAATAACGTATTTTCGAGAGTGTTGTAATTTCCGATTTCTCCTCTACTGGTTTTGTGTCGTTGTTCACAACTGTCGTTGAATATCCATTGATAGTAAGTAGGTATTTGGTTACACTTCTCACTTGTCCAGTTGACATCTCACAATATGTTTGTCATAATATGTCAGATCTTTCAACTGGTTTCAATATAGATGAGATACATCTAGAACTGAGTTGTGCATGAATCGAGAGTTCGTCACATCTCTCTTACTGTTCCTTCACTATGCGCACAAATACCACTGAGTGTGACATCTAACAACACTCATTCATCGGAATTATTGACATATCAATGTGTTTGTATGAAGAGCAATATCCTCATGTGTTATTCACCTACATGTGTTCGACCAACACATTTATTTGTGAAACGTGAAATGATAAAATCTAGAACTGGAATTCAGTTAGTATCAATCGGTGAGAGACTTCCGTCGATATTACGTTCCTGAGATGACGTATGTTCTAACAATTCATATTGAACTAGTGAACAATCTTCGTAAATGCTTTTCGCTACACATCGAATTAAGCTCATGTTAAGATGTCATCAGAGATGGGAATGTCAAACGAAATCTGATAAGATTCTCCATTTCATCTATTCATATTTCATTTTCTCATGTATATCAACCTAGAAATATCACTCGTTTGCATCTAACTCGATTGAGAATGATCTCCTAAGTACAGATTACTCATCGAGCCAATGTACTCAATCAATGCATTGTGAGTGAGTAAGACGTTGACAAAATACAGAATGTGGAGTTGCTTTTGTGTAACGATGTGTTCTTCTCATGCATAATGCATGATTTCATTCCAAAATTAGTATGACTAAGAATTGTGTAGTGAATGTGATTGTTTGAAAATCTGATTATCTCACAGACACGTTATCCGGTTTGTTGGATCGACCTCTGGTGAATGAACATGTGTGTTGTTTCTGATAGATCGGGATAAAATGACAAAATGGAATTTTGTTTAACTGACTCATTGTGATTGTTGTTCGATATTATGGCCGTTTTGTTAATTCAATATGATGATTATTCAGTGTAGTATTTGTTCATGTTTTGCAGTGTGATATTTTATTCGGTGAAACATTACTTGATTTGAGTGTGATTTTTATTCGAGGAACGATGATGTTGTATAAAATTGATATGAACTGATGTTCTTAGTTCGAATCGTGGGGATTGTTGTGGTTCGTCGATTTCAGGCGACGTGGACATATCAGTTCACTGATGCTTGATCATGAAATCCTTCAATGCTTTACCACAGATTGTTAGGACAACTGAGTAATTTGTGGCGTCCTCACACATGGGTTGATAATTCGATATGTGAAATGGGTTGATGAAGTTGTTGGTCATCATCACCTGAACTCGATTTGTGTGGCGTACGTTTGTCCACTGTCTTATTTGAATTGTGGCACAAGCTTTCAAATCAAATGTACTATTGTGTTACTGAATTGACATGCACACGATTATCGCGGTTGGTGGGTGAGTGAGGGAGTGAGTGAGTGGAGACTATCGGTGCTATATCTCGAAATCAGTAACGGTACTAAATATCCAATTTACTTAGGACTTAATTTGTAATGCAAACTATATCTCACATGATTTACTCGTTTATTTTATTCCTTCGAAACATGATCTCTATGTGTACTTTATTACCGTCATCGATACTGCTATTATCGTTACTACTCAGATATGTATCATGGTTATTTTACCTCGTACCATGAGTTATGGACATGAAGACACAAATGCGAAATCAGAAATGAAGCGACATTTAATGGATGTATCATCTGAGATATACATCTGTAGCATACATAGTGATTCGGATATCTGTGACATTATTCATTTGTAAATGTGTTTACAACAAAACACTGAAACTACGCACATCATTCTGATGTGAGTGTCATGAGAACTATCGACTTCGATACAGAGATCTGATAGCTAACTGTGACAGTTCTCCTGCAATTGAACAAGTCAGTGCTTTAATACACTGATCTTCCTAATATACATTAAAAGATATCAGTTCAGACGGAAAATTTGTCGTCAGTCAGAACATTTGTAACAACGATAAAATCCAAGTCTATTGGGAACATTCAGTCCCAATCAAATCAAGTGTTCGCTATCTGGTGATTTATTTTGCTCAGTAGTGAAATAATTGTCAAACTGTTACTCGAAATGATACAAATACTATTCAAAATTATACGGGCTATCATTGTGCAAATGCAACTTGACCAGCATCCAATCTATTTGTTAGTTGATTCGAGATTGACATTATTATTTTTGTGAACAGATGCTGGTGTAGTATTTCGAGGAGCTGATTGTTGATTGGGTAAACAATAAGAATGGTGTTCGTTGACGTGGATGGATATACACATATAAATATGAGTGAGTTTGAAAGGTGTTAACTTATCAATACACTGTTAAAATAAGAATAGTGAATTGAGGTAGGTGAGATGAGATGTTTATCATGACAGTGTTTGAAGATAGATGTTTATTTGAATTAAACGTTGATTGTCTGTCGAGTAAATGAGTTAATTCTATCACGAAGTATTTGGATGAATCACTTCAATCCAGTCAACATAATGGAACTCGTACTTCAACAGAAATATCATGTTTGTAATTTGTTTGAGGTGAATAAACGACTGGAAGAGAGTGTTGATGTGTACAGTGTACCGTTTGAAAAATGCTGATGTAGACTCTTGAATTCTATCAATTACTTCCCCCCCATTGTTTTTGTATTGTTTAACGGGTGTCGTTAGACGAGGATAGAACAAGAGGAGTGATACTGATGATTTCCATTGAAACAATGAACAGGTTGGATGTTTTGCATCCCACCTATGGATTCACCACGTATAGTGACCACGTTTTGCTTAGAGTAATTAATGATATGCTGATCGAAACACGTCATTTTGGAAATTTAGAATTCTGATTGAAAAGTGGTATGAAATGAAGTGCTTGTGTGTAAACTGGGTTATCCTGGTAGACCAGTGAGGTAGAAAGGAGAATATTGTTTGAGTTGAATTGAAAATGTCGACTGAACTGATGAGAATTGAAGTATGTGAGAGATTAGATCCTTGTTATTGCATAATAGTTGTCGATGATGTTGACTTGATAGATTAGCACAAAGTCACTATTAGTCGCCTCTACTTGCACCAATTAGTGATGAGGTGATGTTTTCCTGCTTGAAACACAGAGTTTCCAATAACCGGATTATAGTTGACGTCGAGTAATTTCATCGGCATCCTCCAATAAACCAATTCACTGACATCACATTTTCTTATATAAGCATTGTATAATGTCGTATAAGTTGATAAACACTGAAGCTGTTGCAGTATGATTTTGTTGATTATCTGTTCGCTTTTCCTAATTTAACTTGTTTCTATGGATAAGCACAAATACGTAATTGTGTGGCTTGTCGAATAATAGTCTCAAGATATTATGTGAGTAAGAGTGAGTGAGAACATGTGATGATGTGTGACACTCAACTTCAACATCATTTGTCCTCATCACTGTTTGAATAAACATGATTTGAATCTTCTCGATCTCATTTTCAGATCGTTTGTTATGATGACAAAACAGATCTTCATATCGTTTGGTGTGTTATTGATTCTGGTGGTTTACTGTGATATAGTTGAGAATGCAGTAATCAAAAGAATGTTCATGCCCAATGAAATGCCTGTAAACATGCCAATAATGTCCAACAATGAAGGCATGAATGACTATCAACTACAGAATATCGTCTCAACATTACAGTCTCTTTTGCAAAACTACATCCAGTGCAAGATGGGTGGAGGACAAGAACCTTATGCATATTCAGAATATAATCAACTTGGAAGTTCAAGACCATTATACTATGAACCGGTCACAGATTATCCAATGTATCCGATGAACTACCAGAACACATATCAACCGTATGATTTCCCTGAATCGATCGGCTCAACTGACAGTCCATCAATGTATTATCCACAACAGTGATGTATTTTGTGTGTTATGTTAGACGAAGTAATTCGTCAATAATATTTTGACGATTTCGTTTAGTTGATATTTCACATCAAATACATGTTATGGATAATCACTTTTTGTTTTACTGTTTGTGGGATGAAGTTGGATGAAATAGGTCAATACAAATGATTGATTGATACTTAACGGTGTATTTTTCGAATTAACATAATGAGTGGTTAGTGCATTAGGAAACAGCATGCAAGCGAAAGGAATGTGATGTTAGTGAGTGTTGTTGAGTCACTGGTGTTAGACGATTACTGATAAGGAGGAAATGGAGGACAATTGTTTCGTCTTGATATGGAATGATTGTTGATCAAATCAGCTGTACAGAGCTTCCTCGATATAGTGATTATCTAACCAGTGTGAATTCGTTGAGCTGACACGAACTTACACGATTACTACTTGTCTAGATAAACGCGAAATAATCGAAGATAGATTTTCAGATGTTTTATCTCGACTTGCAATATGGTCCTAATACAGTCATATTTATTCACGTTCATTTGTAGATTGACCTCACATAAGTGATTATGATCATCGACTATTCACCATTTTCCTCACAGTTTCTATTTAGTGTAATGATAAACGGACGATGAATCAGAACCACTTGTCAACAAATGATTAATGTAGTCGCACAACTTTATTGGCATTGAATAAAAGTTAATGTGAAGAGTGTTTGTCCGAGGGAAACGTTTTTCATAATGAAAGGATAATATAATTGACCAATGTTAAGTAATGTAACTATCTTACTTTAACAATGAGACGTTTACTACACATTCCGTATACAAAGATCAGGTTGAAAACATTTGATATTGGTTGCCTCTATAATACGGAATAGAAGTGGTGTTCGCTGCTTGCTTGTCATTGTAAACGGCTTTGTAACATTGATGTTGTGTCCACTATTCATTATATGTCTAGTGATAGCACATGGGAACATTATACTTCGTTCGAAACACAGCATTCAAAGAATATGTTCAGAAAACCTTGTAGATACCTTTCATTCAGTCCTTCCTATGTACATCATTATACAAGTACATGGCAATTAATGGATGGATATTTGAAGGTAACATCAGAAGTGTATTGATTCATTTTTGACTAATTTATGGAAGATCTAGTGTTACACAATGAGAATAGATGGTTTTGAGGTCAGCATCATTTTAGCTCTGCTTTAATTATGTTATCAATCCTACTTGAAATCTCCTCACTTTTGACAATAAGATGGATGAATTTCTCTTGTGAACAGTTGTTTGTTTGAAACCGATCTGCTTTAACGCTTGGTTTTCTTCGTTTACACGAATGGGACGTTAATTTACCTACTTACTTACTTACTTTCGCCTGTTACTCCCAGTGCAGCATGGGCCGCAGATCTGCATTCTCCAACCCACTCTATCCTGGAGCTTCTTCTCTAGTTCCATCCAATTCTTGTTCATTTTTCTTATGTCTATCTCCATTTCCTGGCATAATGTGTTCTTTGGTATTCCTCTTCTCCTTTGGCCTTGAGGATCCCATGTGATGGCTTGTCTTGTGACGCAGTTGGGTGCTTTCCCCAATGTGTGTCCTATCCACTTCCAGAGCTTCTTCCTGATTTCTTCCTCCTCTGGGATCTGGTTTGTTCTCTCCCACAGTACGTTGTTGCTAATAGTGTCCGGCCAATGGATCTGAAGTATTTTGCATAGACAACTGTTAATGAACACCTGTATCTTCTGGATGATGGCTTTCGTAATTCTCCAGGCTTCTGCCCCATACAGTAGAACTGTCTTTACATTTGTATTGAAAATCCTGACCTTGGTGTTGGTTGACAGTTGTTTTGAGTTCCAGATGTTCTTCAATTGTAAATATGTTGCTCTTGCTTTTCCGATTTGCGCCTTCATATCTGCATCAGATCCACCCTGTTCATCAATGATACTGCCCATATATGTAAAGGATTTTACATCTTCCAAATCTTTTCCGTCAATTTTGATTGGGTTGGTGCATTCTGTGTTGTATCGAAGAATCCTGCTTTTCCTTTGTGTATATTGATACCTATAGCTGTTGAAACTGCTGCTACACTGGTCGTCTTTTCCGGCATTTGTTGTTGCGTTTGCGATAGAATGGCCAGATCATCTGCGAAGTCTAGATCGTCCAACTGCATCCTAGATGTCCACTGTATCCCATGCTTCCCTTCAGATGTTGACGTCTTCATGATCCAGTAAATCATCGGGAGAAAGAGAAAGGGTGAGAGTTAACAACCTTGCCTGACACCGGTCTTCACTTCGAACGACTTTGTCAACTGTCCTCCATGCACGATTTTGCAGTTTAATCCATCATATGAACTCTGTATGATATTGACTATCTTCTGAGGCACACCGTAGTGTCGAAGAAGCTTCCAATCAAATGCCTTTTCGTAGTCAATGAAGTTGATGTAGAGTGGTGAATTCCGTTCAATTGATTGTTCCACAATGATCAGTAGAGTTGCGATTTGGTCTGTACACGATTTATCCCTACGGAATCTTGCCTGTCGGTCACGAAGTTGGGCGTCTACGCAGTCCTTCATCCTGTTTAACAATACCCTGTTGAAGACTTTTCCCGGTATTGAGAGAAGAGTGATGCCCCTGTAGTTATCACACTTGCTGAGATCACCTTTCTTCGGTATTTTGATCAGAAGTCCTTCTTTCCAGTCTTTTGGTACTTGTTCCTCATCCCAAATCTTATTAAAGAGAATGTGAAGTATCCTTGCAGTTGCCGCTACGTCTGCTTTCAGTGCCTCTGCTGGAATGTTTTCTGGTCCTGCCGCTTTGCCACTCTTGATTTGCCTGATGACCATGCTTATCTCTTCATTTTTTGGTGGGCCAACATTGATTGGGAGGTCCGTGGGTGCTGCTTCGATATTGGGTGGGCTCAGTGGGGCTGTTCGATTCAAGAGTTCTTTGAAGTGTTCTACCCACCTGTTTCGTTGTTCTTCAATGTTGGTGATTACCTCGCCTTCCTTGCTTTTCACTGGTCGTTCTGGTTTTCGGCGATTTCCAGAGAGTTTCTTTGCCGTGTCATACAATTGTCTCATGTTTCCTTCTCTTACAGCCTTTTCCCCCATCAGTGCTAGATCTTCCACATATTTACGTTTGTCGGTTCTGATGCTCCTTTTCACTTGTTTGTTTACTTCTGTGTATTCAGCTTGTGCCTTGGCTTTCTCTGTTCTTGTTCGACTGGTATTGATTGCTGCTTTCTTGCTCCTCCTTTCTAGAATCTTATCCAGTGTATCAGCAGTGATCCATTCCTTGTGGTAGTGCTTCTTGTGACCCAGGACCTCATGACATGTTGAAGTGACTGCCTCTTTGATCCCCTTCCAGTTGCTCTCCACAGTAGTTCCTTCTCCACTGAGTAGATCATGAAAGGTCTGGAACTTATTGCTGAGGACTATCTTGAATTCGTTGAGTTTGTTAGTATCCTGAAGAAAGGCCGTATTGAACTTTTGTGATATTGTCCGCCCCGTTGTCCAGTGCTTCTTGAGTTTCAATTTCATCTTGGCGACCAGCAAGTGATGATCTGATGCTATATCAGCTCCTCTCTTGGTTCTCACGTCCTCTATAGTCCTCCTGAACGTTTTGTTGATGCAAATATGGTCGATTTGGTTTTGCGTAGTGTGATCCGGTGAAGTCCATGTGGTTTTGTGTATGCGTTTATGTGGGAATATGGTGCTGCCTATGACCAGCTTATTTAAGGCACATAGATTTGCAAATCTCTCACCATTTTCGTTTCTTTCTCCCAGTCTGTGTCGTCCCATGATGTCTTCATATGCAGTGTTGTCCGTTCCAACCTTGGCGTCGAAATCTCCCATCAGAATGGTCGTGTCCTTTGTTGGGCACTTCTCGACTATTGACTGCAGCCTATTGTAGAATTGATCTTTAGCGTCTTCATTGTAGTCGTTGGTAGGCGCAAAGCATTGGATGATGTTCATTGAAATGCCTTCTTTCTTTGTTTTAAACGAGGCTTTGGTGATCCTTGGTCCATGAGATTCCCATCCTATAAGTGCGTTTTGTGCTTGTTTGGACAGCATCAATGCAACTCCTTGTGTATGTGGAGCATTTTCTTCTTCATGGTCGCAGTATAACAGAAGTTCTCCTGAAGTTAGTTGTTGTTGTCCAACTTGCGTCCAGTGTGTTTCACTGATCCCAAGTACCTCTAGGTTGTATCTTCTCATTTCTGCAGTAATTTGGAAGGCTCTTCCGGTGTCCCACATTGTACGAACATTCCATGTAACTAAATAAATGGTTGCTCTGGTTGCCAGAAGGGGCATCGGCCTCGTGACTTCCGAAGGAATTCTGCTTTCATCATGAGGCGTCATAGTTCTTCTAAATGAAGACCTTCTGAATTCCAAGGCAGAGTTTAAAAGGTTTGAATAATCTTTTCTGGTTAACATTTTATTAGCAAGTTAGTTTTCTACGGGATGGGGACGCTAACCCCATGCCCAACCCTCCTCCTCCCGACCGTTGTTGCTACCTTGACGTGGTGGTCGGGCTTGCCTATCGTGATGAAGCAACCGAGCTATACTGGCTGGAACAACCGTTCCTCAAGGTCCTACCATGTCAGACAGGTCGGTTGAAGAGCGGTAAGACTAAAAGCAACAAACCCAAGGTCCGAAGGCGAAGTCGTACTGCTGACTGTACAGAGGTGTGACAGCAGTAAGGTGTTTCCTTCAGACAACCAGCATGACAGCGATGCTGCCTTCCCACAAGGAGGGGTGGGGTTAGAAAAGGTCGACCCTAAAAATGCACACCTCACCTTACCTCACGGATTTCCGTCTCCGGCGGTAAGGCCCTTTGAAGAACGGAGCTAACACGTCGAAAACCTCCCACAAAAAGGCCGTGCGCGACCGGCCTCAAGCAGTTGTCCCTTGGGCACTGCGGCCACGCTCTCAGGTCACTGAGACCACCTCTAATCCAATTTCCTTTTCAGATACCTCCAGAAGAACCCTTCCTCGGTGTGGGCAACCGGGAAGT